ATTGTTTAGGTTTACTTGGAAATATTATTTTTGGGTCTTGTATACTACTTGAAACCATAAGGAAAGTATGTGATTATTAAAAAATTAAAAATAGATAAAATTTGCATTCTATGGATGATAAAAATTTTGGGGGATTTAAAAATAATGTATTAAAACATAAAAAGTAAAAATGTTCAAATCTAGAACAAATATAAATATCGTAATCATTTCTTATAAATACCATTTCCTAGTGTAATTTTCCAAAATATTAAAGATCATAATGCAAAAAACTAAATTTATCAAAAGTAACAGGCTTTATGTTTCTTAAACTACATGCATTTATGAAGGTTCTTATGAAGTTTAAAACAGTTTTATCCACTAGTTTTATTGTTGGAATGAAATATAGCAAGACTTGCATTAGCTACTCAGAAAGTTAGTAGCTGGTGGTCATTAGGTTAAAACATACATCCCCAAATTTCATTTTCATATTCTTTACTCCTCTAATATCTCATTTAATAGCCTTCCACCTCTTTCTCTTAAAATGTTTCTTATATGAAGTTTAATCTATGAACACATGCATCTTTATTTGAAAGAAAGAAAACTAGATCCCATCCAATGCAAATTTCAGTCCATTATAAACATAACACAAACAAAATTATCTTTTTAACCAGCTATAATGGTTTAAAAGCATCTAAACTCACCAAATAAACAACACACAAAAGTATATTACCTGGTGTAATACAATTTGAGTCAAATCTTGCTTCTGTTGGTAAAACCTCGCCTTTCTCTTTTGCTTTTTTCTCAAGCATTTCAGCATCTTTAGCTGACCTTTAAAATTATGGAATTAATGCTTCTATGGCTCAAGTTCATAGAAAATATACATCAACTTCTTTATTTTCACAAGATTTTAACTATTCCTGAGTTTTAAAAGACATTTCTTAAGCTAAATACAACATATAAACATGTAAAATGAACTCAAGATAGAAACTTATTTTTATCAATTGATTGCATGTTACTGAAGTGTAAAATAAATTTCATGACTATTCTATAATACTAGTAAAAGATTACAGTCAGGTCAATGTTAATCCATTTTCTGAGGTTCCTCTGTTCATATATCTTCCAGCTATAAAACTGCAGCATCCAAGTATTAATTAAAGCAAGTGAGTAAGGAAAAATAAAAGTATACTGAAAGCTAACCATTGTTGTAATGGTTGTTTGTGTGTGATTAATGTTAATAGACTTAATAAAATTGGTTTATTAGCAGCATTGGAAATTTCATTTAACAACTTCAATAACCATTAAAACTACAGTCGCTTCGAAATGCCAGCTAAAAATGCCCAAAAACAAAGCACAGTGAGCTACATGTGTAGTTATATTTACAGAAACATAACACATAGAGGACAGCAAGGGGACCTTTTTTTTGTCCATCTAAGCTGTCCCATCCATAAAACTGAACAGTAAAAAATTCAAACCAATCCTTATCATTCAAATAGTTATCAAGCTATCCCTTAAATTAACAGCATCTAACTCCTGAAGGCAACCTGTCCAAAGGTTAATCACCCTGTTAGAAAAATAAAGCTATCTTAGCTGAAGATGACTTCTACTCTACTAAAATTTATATTCATGTCCCCTAGTCTTACCATTCTCACCATTTTTAGAAGTAAGTGAATTTGTCTACTTTTTGCATGTTATTAGTCCACATTCTTTGGTGTATTATTTAATTAAATAAAAATTGTTAAGTGCTTTACTATAATCACTAAAAAATCAGGCTTAACTCTCATCAACAATCAAGGGCAAGAAAAAAGAAGGTTGGGTAAGTACTTTATTTCTTGTTTTTCATATTTATTCTTTACTTATTATTATAAAAGCAACTAAAATTAAAAGTATGGATCTTTTTAAGTTATTTAAGACTAGAATAGGTAAAATAAGTAATAATTAAAATTGTTCACGTAGCATGCACGCGAGCAGCTCGTGGGTGATGTAATTCGATAGCGTAACGTGAGCTGCATGTTCCCCGAGTCATTTACAACTTATAATGGTGCAGATAGACACAGTTCAAAAGGCAATAAAACAAATGTAATTATAAATAGATGTATAATGTTGTTTCGACAGTGGGGGGTCACGTGACGAGTATTCTAGAAGATTCGCTAGTGTGTTACGACAGTGGGTCGCGTGACGAATATTCTAGAAGATTCGCTAGTGTGTTGCGACAGCGTTGCGTCAAGCGACGCTGGTAGCACGTGTTGGGAGTCTTAGAAGTTTCTAGAACAGGCAGTATTATCGTATATAAGTGTGCTAGACAGCGAGAGAGACAGACAGAGTCGAAGCAATAGTGGAGACAAAGACAGAGACGTAGCGGAGACGAAGCAGGCAGAGAGAAAGAAAGACAGCGGTTACGGTCGGCGGGAACTGAGGATAGCAGACACAAAGATCGGAACTATAGTTTGCGGGGACGGACAATTAAGTCTAAGCGCGATAGAAAGTGAGTGAATTGTTGTGAACTATAGTGTGTGTAACTGTAAAAATTAAGTACATTACAAAGTTGTATTGAGGAAGAATAAACAAGTTTTATAAAGAAAGAGCTTGTACCTTGTAAGAATTAACAAGCAAACATACAGAGACGTAACAATGTTATGAACTTAGAGCTACTTAGGATAAACGAATGTAGTTTCATGTTACAATTTGAAGTCATACTAGAAAGAAAAGAAGGTTTATTTAGAATTTTTTTGGGTGGTTACGAGGTCGGTCGAATTGACCGATCCTGTTTTGAGATTAGGGTAGAGAAAATAATATATAAACTATAAGGACTTAGTGGAAAAAAAAGTTTGGAATGCATTTAGGAGATTTTAGGGATTACACAAAGGAAATTTGAGATTTTTGAGATGGCGAAAAGTATTTTTAATTTTAACATAAAAATTACTTTGCACACGGACTATTCAAAACAAACACTCTATATGTTCATGGACAAAAAATTTATATTATTTTATTAAAAGTACTTCACTAAGAAATATGACTTTTTGTATGTGAAATGCTTGTAATATTAACTAAAAGACTGCCAAATTTCATGAAGATATACCCAATATATTGAGAGTTATAAGTATTAAATTTATGTCAACTTTAAACGAGTACAGAAGGTCACGTGACTCGGTCCCAGGGACTGAGCCCGTGTCGAAAGAGTTAAAAATCTTAAACACCTCAATCAAACCACCTCTAGCTCTTCTTTTTCTCATGCGAAAACAATTTCAGAAATAATAACCTGTCCTCATATGACAACCTATCCATCCCAGGTATCATTCTGGTAGACTGCCTACGAACACCTTCCAACAATTCAATGTCCGTTCTAAGGTAAAAAGCCCAAGACTGTGCATAGTACTCCAAATGTGGCCTAACCAATGACCTATACAATGAAATTATAACCTCCTTCAATTTATAATCAATATTTCTGCCCTGCCACTAGCAACAGCACACTTTTTGGGTGGCTTAAGAAATTGATCAACCAGAACCAAGGTCTTTTTTTTCCATAACACTGTTAAAATTATTTTCGTCCAACTTTACACATATCTATTGCAAATGCATTACCTTCCATTTATTATAAGTAATACCCATCTGCCATTTATTCGTCCAACTCACCAAATAATCCAAATCCTTTTGTAAAACAGCATCCTCCTCCTCACAGCTTAAACTTTAATGTCATCAGCAAATTTAAATAATTTATTGACCATTCCTTCATCTATGCCACTGATGTAAATCAAACAGAACGAAGTCCTAAAACTGAGCCCTGAGGTAACCCACTCATGGCATTAATCCAGTTTGACTGAATTCCATTTATAACAAATCTCTGCTTTCTTTCATCTCACCAGTTTTCTATCCAATGAGCCAACCTATCCCCCACACCTATACAGATAACTTTTTCAATAAATCTTTTATTTAGTACTTTCTCAAATGCTTTCTGAAAATCCACGTACACAAAAGTCACACCTGTACCCTCATCTACACAAACAGTAACCTCTTCAAAACATTTCAAAAGATTAGTAAGGCAAAATTTTCCCCTTGTGAAACTATGCAGATTAGCCCACAAAAGTTTAAGTTTGTTATATGACTTTATAAAGTATCTGTTATTAAACTTTCAAAAACTTTTCCCCACACTGATTTAATTACTAGGCAGATTTTATCACCTCACATAAAAAGAAGAGCATTAGTCACCTTCCAATCTTCTGGCACCTAACCATTATTCAAGGACTCAGAAAGATTAGTATCAAGTGGTTCACATATCCAATCCTTAACCTTTTTCAAACCTTTGGGTGAATGTTATATAGGACAGCAGCTTTATGACTCTTTAAACTTTCTAATATTTTCTTCACAAGCTCTCAGATTTATTATGATCATCTTGTTCAATCTTGTTTCCATCTAGTATCTGTTCAGGATGAGGAATATTGCTTAAATCTTGATTAGTAAAAACTGAAGAAAAAGTTAAGAATTCTGCCAGCTCACAAACCTCAGATAGTAGCCTTCCTCAATAATGCTTCAGAGGTCCTACTCCCATCCTAACATTTTGCTTATTTGTATTTGGAGATATCTTTACATTTACAGCCAAGCCTTTTCACATACTTCTTTTGATTTCCTAATTACCCATTTGAGCAACTCTCTTGTTCTTCTGTAATCCTCTAAATCTTCCATTAATGCAGTCAATTCAAACTCTACATCCTTTTTGTTTTATTCATTATTCTGGCCCTCTCCACTGTCTAGTCCTAGTTGCCCTGATAGTTGAGTTAATAAGCCTTGCAAACAAACCAGTCCTACACTATATAAATGTAAATCATCCATTTCTAAAAGCTCCTTTTTCCCACTGAACTGATCCCACAAATCCAACCAACCAGCCTGCTCGTCCTTACATATTAATCTTAGCCTAGCAATCAGCCCTAGTGACCTAATTATAATTTCATCCCACAATTAAGACTCAGCAGTATCCTTCACAAAATTAATTATTATGGCCCTTTTCTCTTAATGCCTTTATTTAAGCCTTGTACTTAACAATAAGCTCTTCTAACCTACCCTTCACATAATTATTAGCCTCTACATGGACTACAATGAATGTATCACTGCTAACACCTTTTAGTATATCACTTGCTCTATCTGTTATATCTTCGACCCCTGTCCCTGGATAGCATAATCTAATTTCTCTTCTCCCTACTTACCCCACATGTCATACCAAAGAATCTCCTATAACTATAACCTCATGTTTGTCACTCCAATCATATCTGTCCCTTTTGTTATCCTTCCCTCTTCTAGTTCATCATCTGCACAAGCTAAAGGCTGAAATATGTTACTTAATAGAACCTGCTCATTATAATTAAATCCACTATTATTAGCCCTAGTGGTACTGTTTTTTAACTTCCTGAAAGTCATTATTAGCCTCTGTATCCTTTGCATGCAAAAGCTTAAGGTTCTTTTTAAACCCTGCTGCCATTTCCTGCAGTTTACCCTTCTCTTTATCCACAGTATTTACCCTATTTGGAACATACTTCAAAATTTTCTCCAATCTACAAACTCTACATACAAATTGTACAATTTCACTATTAACTTTCTTAACACTAGAACACCAGCATGGGGTCACTATGACCCCATACAAATTAAACCTGTATGCTAAAATAATCATGCTAGCATTCTAGGATTAAATGTGCATGTTAGTCCCAAGTTCCTAAATAAAACCCAATCCTTGCACCTATCACACCTTACAAACTGTGAGTGCTTAACACTTAACATTACTTTTATTCATAGTAGCCTGAAAATAACAAATCAACACAAAGTATGAGTGTATGAGTAGCCGATTGACAAAAGTGTTAAGCATGATATTAAATACATTACACTATTTTACCACTATCTTACCTTTTCACTAAATTACTTAAGTTTATCTTTAAAATGAAAAGTGATATAACTAGTCTTTAGATTATGTTTATTAAATACAATTAAAGTTAGTTGTGTTACACTTACTAAGCCAAACTGTGGATTAATTAGTATTAAACTGTATAAATTAACATCAATTCCTCTATTAACCAATGCTTATATCCTAAAAGATACAACTAAAACACAGAAAAATATAACAGCAGAAATGTGCATAGCTAGAAAAAGACAAACAAACTTATTACTTGTATCTGGAAAAACCATCTTTTCAAATTTCAACTCTACATACTTACCTAAAGCGACGACTTCTCTGCTGGTTCATTTTTGCTCTTGGAGCAACCCCATCAACAGCCATAAAAAAAACTTTTTTTGGCTTGATCATTCGAAAAAGGAACTAAAAAAGAAGTTGAAAACTATAGTTAAAGATCAAATCATAAAAACAAAATTGTTAGTAGTTGAAAACAATTTAAAACTAAAACAAGAATAGTGGTTTGTTTAGAGCAAACAAATAAAATGAAAACCACAATCTGATCAACAATGTTTTCAGCATTATACATATAAGTAAAATAAAATGAAATCCCAATAAAACAAAAAACATTTTTATTATATTTTAAAGTTGTCAGTGCTGATTGAAGAATAGTAGCTATCTGCAATGAAGATGACAAACAATTTTTTTTATTCAACCTGATGTTTCGGATTACGTCTTTTTAAATGATCTATGAATGTCACAGTTTACAAAATTGATTTTAAATTATAGTTACTATAAATTAACTCAGTTTTGTAATCTGCGACATTCACAGACCCTTGAAAAATGAGTAAGCAGAAATGTTGGGTAGAATAAAAGAAATTAATCTAATTAACAGAAGTGAGAAAAAACAAGACAAATGTACATTTCACAAATACACCATTTCTTCCAGACCATGGTTTCACCAGTAAAAGCATCATCAGGTACAGATTGAAATGTTTTGTAACAAGGTTTATATATATGTTTAAACAAAAATCCAGAAGTCACTTTGACATTCAACTAGAGACAAGTATTGTAAGCAGTGGGGAGGAGCTTAAGTTGGTTTGGTCATTTAGAACTTTTTCTAGATTTGTCTAAAACCAAAACAGAAAAAGAATAAGAGACAGAGAAAAGTTTAGCATAGGAAATAAGCACAGAAGTAGTTATAAGGTAGGCTTAATTGTTACTATTATAATGCTAGAAGTATAAGAAATAATAGATGACTTTAGAGCACTGGTAGGAATTGAGGATTTTGATAATAACGGGAATAACTGAAACATGGTTAAACGTAGATTATTTTGAGGACAGAAACTTCTTTGAAATACAGGATTACAGGCTATTTAATAAGGATAGAGTACTAAAGAGAGGGGAGGAGTGGCTTTATATGTTAAATGTGAGTTTCATCCTGTTGAAGTTGAGGATATCAAAGATAATAGAAAGGAGTTGGAATCTATTTGGGTTTCTATTAGTGGATATAAAGAGAAAAAGCTTTTAGTGGGAATTTGTTACAGACCACCAGATGATATTGACGAAATTGACTGAGAGGGTAGAAATTGGGGAACATCCGGGTGCAAGTGATCATTGCTCTATTAGGTTCAATGTTTTGCTGCATATGGAGATACAGAATAATGGTATTTTGGTTACAAATTTCAAAAAAAGCAAATTCTGAGGAGATGCAACAAGAATTATCTGTTGGGAATTGGGCAGCTGAGATATTTGGATACATTGATCAGATGTGTAAAAGTTCTAAATATTTAAGGTAAACATATTCCTTATAAAAAGGAAAGGGTGACTGCAAGTAAATAACCAGGATGGCTCACAAAGAGTATAATAGATAAAATTAAAGAAAAGTATCATAAATTTAAAAAATTGAAATTGACTGGTATGACAGGAAATTTAGAAGATCATAGAACATCAAGAAAGTTAGTGAAACTGGAAATTAGGACATCAAAAAGGATGTATGAGTAAGGATTTCTTTCAATACATTAAAGGTAATAATGGCTGGAGACGGCTTAAATGGGTAA